TGCCTCATAGGAACAGGCCTTCGGCTGGTGATGGTTCTTTCCAATTAGATACTCAATAAGAACTTATTCTCAGATTATAGGTAGGAGTTTTCCTGCTAAAGAAGTATTTTTAAAAATTCACGCATATTTTCTGCTTCATTAAAGAAAAAAGAAATAAAACTAAAACAACAAACCATTTGCCTTGGAGTCTCCTTTGACTCTAGACAACCCCATGTGTGTCAGAGTGGAACTGTGTTCCATAGGGTTTTCAATGGCTGATTTTTTGGAAGTAGATCAACAGGTTTTTTTCTGAGACACCTTTGGGTGGACTAAAACCTCTAGCTGAAAGTGTTAACTGTTTTCACTACTGAGGGAGTCTCCTTAGTTATGTTGTTGTTGTTGCTATGTACTGTTGAGTCGGACCGACTCATAGCGACCCCTCCTTGGGTTTCTGAAGCAGTATCACTATGGAAGTAGATTGCCCAACCTTCCTTCCGAGGAGTGACTGGTGCGTTTGAACCACCAGCCTTCTGGTTAGTAGTACCAGAGCTCCTCTGCTTAGTTATAAGATCACTGAAAAGGAAAACAAGATTATCCTAGGAAGTTATAGGGCATTTGTTTTACGTATTTGGTTTCTAATTCCAAATCTCAGCATCCTGGGTGCACATTTGGACTAACAAGCTATCTGAATTACCCTTTTAAGTCAAACTAAATCCAGCCATTTGAAAAAGTCAAAGAAGGAATATATACATTTTCATTTCACTTAATTTGTTTGTTAATTACCTTCAGAGCTCATTTTCCCCCATCATTCAGTAAACATTTTATTGTTCGTCTACTCTGTGTTAGAAATTGTGCTAACCACTAGGTGCTTTGTTTCTTTCTTGATCGAGCATTGATAGACAATGTTTGTTCTCATTTTAGCCATTTTATAGTTACCTGTAAAATATTTTCCCCCATATGTTAGAATGGAAAACATGGTGTAGAACTACTCATGGGAAATGCCTAGCACATGTTGTTAGTTACAATAAATTATACTATATGGAATTGCCATATTCAATAGTCTTTGACTACAAAAACAACAACTTCATATAATTCTACTCATTAAATGAATATTTTCAACTTAAAATTAAATATTTTTAGCATTTAATACTTTCTTTTATAGAATTTCCAAGAATAGGTATTATTAAGGGTGTAACTGAGTAACACACAACAACTACCTTATGTATACACAAGTCTTTTACAGTTATTGAAAACAGATGTTCAGTGTTCTTTGTAAACAACTTAAAATTTATGAATACAGCACTGAATGAAAGTAGCATTTATTTTTATATTATACTCTAATATTGACAATATTTTTTCATTCCAGAATATTTAATAACCCCAAGAAATATGCAATACACTTTTGGAGTCTCTTGTTTTTTCCCTTTGTTGTTCACCTAGTTGGAAGTGATTTTTTTCATTATGCAAATGTGTGGTTTGGTGTTTATGAGGTTCATATATATTCAACCACCCAAAGAGAAAGGAAGTGAACCCCATGTGGTCAGAAATCACAGCTTGTTTCCATTTGAGGAAAAAAAAAAAAAAATAGAGCCTCCAAGTGGGTATTCATGTGGCAAACTTTCCTTCAAAATGAGCCTATCAAAAATTCAGTCAATTGCAGGATAAAAACTTAGTAGAAATTAATTTTTGCTAAAACTCATGTCAAAAAATAAGAAATTTCTGAGCTAGGAATATTTATAGCTCTGGAGGTTGAACAGCTAAATTAAGGAGATATAGATTTCTTTATTATTGCAAACAATTGGATATCAAATTATAGTCTTTCTTCCATGTGCATTTCAAAGTAATATTTGAAGAGGCTTAGTCTGGTAGCATAGTGGCTAATGCACTCGACTGCTAACCAGAAGGCTGGCAGTTCAAACCCACCAGGCACTCCTTGGAAGGAAGGTTGGGCAATCTACTTCCATATTTATACTACCTTGGAAACCCAAGGGGGGTTTGCTGTGAGTCAGCTGTGACTTGATGACGCATAACAACAACAACAAAGTAGTTAATTTAAAACAAAAAATTTGCATTAATGATATTGGGTTTCATTTGCCAGCACAAACAGAATGTGAACTTTGAGTTTCCTGCAGTAAAGTGTCATACACTTACACATCAATAAAAGAAGGAAAAATAATGAAGGCTTATTTTTTTCCCTAGGTTTTATTAAAAAAAAAAAAAAAATCAATGATTGCTGAATAAGGTCATCAAAATGATTAATAAAAATGATTTTCATATTTCTAACGTTTTTGAACCACTGATCTTCAGATTAGCAGTTAAGTCTCTTATTCACTATGCCCCCAGAGCTCCATAGTGTCTCCTAGAGATCATATTTGATAAAATGTATGTGTTCATTGATAGAGTTCGGATTCACATTTTTCACATGGTATGAGTTAGGCAAAAGGAGCTCTGGTAGCATAGTGCCTAAGGCACTTGACTGCTAACCAGAAGGCTGGCGGTTCAAACCCCCCAGCTACTCCTCGGAAGTAAGGTTGGGCAATCCTACTTCCGTAGTGATAACTGCCTCGGAAACCCAAGGAGGGGTCACTATGAGTCAGGGCTGACTCGACGGCACGTAACAACAACAACAACATGAGTTAGGCAAAGAAATGAGGTAGTAGTGAATGTAAATGTTTACTGAATTGGTTTTATCTATCTGTGACATTTTTCAAAGCTGCTTTTATCCTCTCCTGGCTAACAGACAGTGAGACACAGCTCCGGAGAGACATGGTGTTCTGCCAAAGCCTTGTGGCTACGGTCTGTGCCTTCTCTGAGCAGCTCATGGCGGCCTTAAACCAGATGTTTGACAACAGCAAAGAAAATGAGATGGAAACTTGGGAAGCCAGTAGACGGTGGCTGGACCAGATAGCGAATGCAGGTGTTCTTTTTCACTTTCAGTCCTTGCTGTCACCAAACCTGGTAAGAAACACATTGACTCCCACTGTCTTTGTCAACCATAAACTACGTTGTAACATATTCCCTAAATAAGAAGTGGTTTTTCCTTTTCCCCTCATTATCCTACTTCATTATTTTATCAGCAGTCACTCAGCTACTTTAAGAGAATATATTTTTCCATTGTCATTCAAGTCTTATAAGTTATGCATTCTGCATAACTTCTTTCCTGATTAATTTTTTTTTGTCTGTGGCTGCTAGCAGCTGAGAAAGCTACCATCTGTTACTGATTCTTGTATCTCTAAGCACTTACTGGGAAAGGTCATCAGAGAAAGAGGGTCTTTCTGCTACTGTTATTAATGAAAAGTCTATTTCTAGTCACAGACCAAACCTGCCTTGAAACCAACACTCCCACTGAGGTTGATATTCTGAGGCATCCTTCATAGAAGAGCTCAGACAACTTGCATCTGACAATCTACTTAAAATTTGCATATGTTAAATAATTATAGTGCCTGCCTTTGTATGTGTGTTTGTCCTGTTAAATCTAAGAACATTGCTATAACTACTGTAGAATTTTCCACGTGTAGCATCTGTTTTCGCAGTAGATATGAAGAAAGCATCTTGAAATATTTCACAAATAAAATTGGGATGAACTGAGAGTGTTTTCACATACATTAACTGTGTCTCTGATAGTTATCATGATGTTAAAAGACAAAGATATTCACTTTCATATGTAAACCTCAGGTGCTCATTAAATAGAGTTGTGATTTTAAACATGAGATGCTATTTTCATCTATCATATTACACATAGAAAATGTAGCTACCAAGCAATATGGTTGAATTTTTAAATAAACATATATTGTTTTATACATAAAAATAGTGTTTTATTTCAATGATGATGAGAGTAAGGAGATGATTTCACAGTCACAGAAGATTCTGGAATTGTAAGATAAGGACGTCCATCTAAGTGTACTGCAGAGAGACAGAAGTTTATTCTTTCGAAAAAAGACTAGGCACACCACATGTGTGATCTATTTCTTATTTAGTTGCTAATAAAACCAAAGGAGAAGATTTAATTAAAGAACAATCTGAAATAAGGTACTTTTGGGAAAATTTTAAGAATAAAATAAAAATTAATCATTATTTATCAAATATATTTTACATAAAATCACTGCCGTCAAGTGGATTCGACTCATAGTGACCCCTCCTTGGGTTTCTGAGGCAATATGTCTACAGAAGTAGATTGCCCAATCTTCCTTCCGAGGAGTGGGTAGTGGGTTTGAACTGCCATCCTTCTGGTTAGCAGGCAAATGCCTTAGGCACTATGCCACCACAGCTCCCATATTTTGCATAAGATAATGTCTGCTCAACCCACTTCCTAACAAATGGTAGGCATTAAGCAGTTGAATGAATGGATGAATAAATGAGGATTAGTTTCTAATTTTACTTGGGAAAAAGAAAACAAAACTGTAGTCTTATCAGATGCTGGGTTGCTTTTACTTTAAACTTAATTTTATTTGAAATTTCAAGGAAAGGAGAAAATATTTGCCGATTATATATCTCATAAGTGACTTGTATCTAAAATATATAAAGAACTCCCAAAACTCAACAATTGAAAACAACCCAATTAAAATATGGGCAAAAATTTGAATAGATATTTCTTTAAAAGAAGATCAAATGGCCATTAAGTTGATACTTATATATTGATGGTGGGAATGTAAAATAGTGTGGCCATTTTGGAAAATAGTTTGACAGTTCATCAAAGAGTTAAATATAGAGTTTCCATATGACTCAGCAATTCCACTCTTAGGTATATACCAAAGAGAAATGAAAACTCATGTCCACACAAAAACTTGTACACAAATATTCATAGCAAAATTGTTCATAATAGCCAAAAAATAGAAAAAACCCAAAGACCCTTCATCTGATGAATGGATAAAAAACATTGTGGTATAACATTCCATACAATAGAATATTATTTAGCTATAATAAAAAACGAAATACTAATGTGCGTTACAAAATGGATACTCTGAAAACATCATGCTATGTGAAAGAAGCCAGTCACAAAAGACCACATTGTTTGATTCCATTATTATGAAATGTCCAAAACTGGCAAATCTGTAGAGACTGAAAGTAGATTGGTGGTATCCTGGGGTTGTGAATTGGAAAAAGGGGAATGGGGAGTGAATGCTACTGAGTATGGGTTTCTTTTTAAAATGCTCTAAATGTAGATAATGGTAATGTATTTACAACTCTGTGAATATGCTGAAAACTCCTGAACTGTACACTGTGGGAAATTTTATAGTATAAATTCTATTCCTATAACACTGAATTAAACAAAAACAACACAACATTAAATGAAGCTGTTTTTGATCTGGTATTATATTTCATTACATCATATTATATTATTATATATTGTTTTTCTTATTTTTTTCTAGACAGATGAACAAGCCATGCTAGAAGATACACTCGTTGCACTATTTGATTTGGAAAAGGTTTCCTTTTACTTTAAACCATCAGAAGAGGAACCACTTGTTGCAAGTACATAACTAAGTATTTTATAGAATTTCTTTGACATTAAGCAATAACATATAGTGTAAATTTTATATTAATATGTTTGATATGTGGTTTAAATGATTTTGTTAAAATATTTATATTTAGGGTAACATAATTCATAGCAATAAACTATGAAAGTGTTGGAAAATATATATTATTTGAATGTAAAGATGATTCTAAATTTTATTTTCATCCATTACCTGTACATCCAAACTTTTACTAATATATATAATAATATAGCAAAAATGACTGAATTGAATTTTCACTCTTTATCTCCAATTCATTGTTTACAGAATGTGTTGGTAGACAGTGAAAATAATGACTTAGAGCCAAAAAGAAATGGAGGAGACCTAAGTCCTACTCATATTGTATATAATTTAAATCTAAACCAATTGAGAGAGAGATTGTGACTGGTTGATGTGATAATAACTGATTAAAAGTCTAATTTAATTTTGAAGGAATAGACACATATTTTACCTTTTTTGTTTGTTTAAAAATGAAAATTGATAATACGATCATCTGAGTGTCTAAATATTTTAATGTATACAGATATACTTACATTCCAAGGGGATCAAAACATTTTCCCACTCTCTTGGGTGCTGGAGATACAACAGTGAACAAGATAGAAAAGGGTTTTGCTTAGTTGGATGTTGTACCATACAAAAACTCACTGCCATCGAGTTGATTCTGACTCATAGCAATCTCCTTTGGCTTTCTGAGGCAGTAAATCTTTACCAAAGTAGATTTCTCAGTCTTCCTTCCATGGAGTGGCTGATGGGTTTGAACTGCCAACCTTCTGGTTAGCAGTCAAATGCCTTAGACACTATGCCGCCAGAGTTCCTTACATGGTACCATAGGATAAATAAATGAAACAGTAGAAATCAAGAAACCTGAGTTCAGATCCAGGGACTCCATTATTATCTGCAAAAAATGAAAATAATAGCCTTGTTCGCTTGCTTTAGACACAAAGGGTGGTAAAATTAAATAAGATAAGATATTTGGAAGACTATAGCATTATATATAGCCCATGGTAACATTCATTAATATTTGCATACTTTCTCCTCACATTATTATGTTGCATTTTTCTTTTAAGTTACATTTATACCATTACCTATAGTTTTATTTTTTTGCATGAAAAATAATGAGATTCTGGATGCCAAGCAAGCAGGACTAAAAAGTCTGGATTAATGACATTTCATTGTCAGAGAAGAAATCATTATTGAGAATGTATAATGTTCTAAACATTGAACTAAGTAAGCTCTGGATACATACCAGCAAACCAACTGCCATTGAGTCAGCTCTGACTCACGGTGACTCCACAGGTGTCAGAGCAGAACTGCACTCCATAGAATTTTCAGTGGCTGATTCTTGAGAAGTGGGTCACTAGACATGACTTCTGAGAAGCCTGGGGGTGGACATGAACCTCACACCTTTAGGTTAGCAACTGAGTATGTTAACCATTTGTACCACCCAGGAACAAATGGTGAATAAGTAAACCATGGTGAATAAATAAAACAAAGATCATGTTTTTATGGAGCATAGAGAGTAGTGAGATGTGCAGAGGAATAAATAGGCAATTTTACCCACTTTGATGATAGGGAACATACAGGATACTTCCAGAGTTATATAATTAGTGAAGGAAGAATAAATTAACTAAATTATTAGGGTGTATATATTTAAATTTATTTTGTGGCATATCTGCATTTCTAAGAGAATAGCATAATGACAGCAGGTCTTCCCCTTCCATGATGATAGTGTTATAGGTAGTTTTATACGAATTAATTAATTAAGAGGGTGGATATTTTTGAATCCTGTAATTCATGTACAGGCTAGGCATTGTGCCTGGAGCTGTGGTTGCCATGTTAATAAAACAGACCTGGTCTTTGTCTTTGTGGAGCTCACAGCTTAGTTGGTACACAGTGAAAAAGGAATTAAATACCAAGATCATTAGAACTGTGATCAATCCTATGAAGCAAATAAGGAGATGCATAAAGAATATGGAGTGGGGTGGCTCATTTCTAAGAAATGACCAGGGAAGGATTGTCTGCAGAAGAGGCTTTTCAGGTGAGACCGGAAGGACAAGAAAGACCTAATCCTACAGAAGATCAGGGAAGAGCAATCCAGGTGACAGGGATAAAGAATTTATTAGTCAAAGACTTATTTTCAAAGTCATTGGCCTACTCACGGTTTGGGGGCCATGTCTACAGAGATGGGATGTTGTCATTGAAACTCCTAAGATGAATCCCTCTCTACAATGATATCAGAGCCTTTTTCCTTATGCAATAATGGTTTTGAAGTTTTTGATCATCACCACCACCATCCATCAGTTTGCTGTAATATGGTAGGTTATATGTTGCTGTGATGCTAGAAGCCATGCTACCGGTGTTACAAATACTAACAGGATCACTCATGGTGACCTAGTGATCTGCTTCCAAAAATTAGCCCATTAACATCTTATGGATCACAACAGAACATTGTCTGACTTGCTTACTTTAAACTTGTTATCAGGAGGGATCAATTGCTGGAGGAGGACATCATGTTTGGTAAAGTAGGCCATAGGGAGTGAGGGGACCCTTGGTGAGATGGATTAGCACAGTCACTGCAGTGATGTACTTAAGCATGGCAGAAATTCTGAGGATGACTCAGGATCAGGCAACATTTTGTTCTGTTGTACAGAAAGGTCATGAGTCAGAGTTAACTTGATGGCAATTATCTATGTCTCTAATAATTAAACTGAAAGACAAAACTAGTTGCTTTCGATTCAGTTCTGGCTCATAGAAACCCCATGTGTGTCATAATAGAACTGTGTTCTGTAGGATCTTTATAACTATGCCCTTTCATGGGCAGATCTCCAGGCCTTTCAGCGAAGGTACACCTGGGTGAGTTCAAACCACCAGCCTTCCAGTTAGTAGCCCAGTGGTGGATCCTTTGTCCCACCCAGGGACTCCAATGTAATTATTACCTTGCCCTAATCATCAAGTTTGTTTTTCATGGTGAATAAATTCCCACAAATGAGGTAATAATTTTTAGGCCATCAACACAGCATAATATATTTTTGATCTGAGTTCAGGGAATGAAACATGCAAAGCCTATACTAATTTTTTGATAGTGGTCACTGTGGACTCGATTCCTTGGACGCTACTTAAGAAAGTGTACCCCAAGGACTCATTTTGTTTAGAATGTAAATAAGGCAGCTGCCTTGGGAGATTTTGATTCCAATCCATGTATCGCTAACTTCTCATTTAGTTAAGTGAGACATCTGGTGTGTCAAAGTGTAACGAAGTTTCCTATTACAGAATTTTACATACAGAACAGTAATAAATCTGTTGCTTTAGGTAATGAGTATCTGATTTAATACCCCTTCACTGCATAGTGCTATAAGTATGCCTACCTTGAACTTGATACCTTTGAGCACTTTCATGTACTAAAAAAACAAAAAAACAAACTTGTTGCTGTCATGTCAATTCTGATTCATAGCAACCCTATGGAACAGAGAATAGCCAACCTGTACTTATTGCAATCTTTATGGAAGATTAGAAGGCTGTAATCTTTATGGAGGATCCCTGGTGGTAGGGTGGTTAAAGCACTTGGCTAAGTGAAAGGTCGGTGGTTCAAACCCACCAGCCACTCTGTAGCAGAAAGAAGTGGCAGCCTGCTTCTATAAAGATTTACAGTAATAGAAACCCTGTGGGGCAGTTCTGTCCTGTCCAATAGGGTCACTGATTTGAAATAGCTCAACAGCAATGGGTTTGGGTTTTTGTTCTTTTAACTCTTTATAGAAGACTTTTTCTTGCAGAACAGCTGGTGGGTTCAAACCGCTGACCTTTTGGTTGGCAGCTCAGCACTTTAATCACTGTGACACCAAAACTCACTGCCGTCAAGTCAGATCTGATTCATAGTGACCCCTCATTGGGTTTCCAAGGCAGTATCACTACAGAAGTAGATCACCCAATCTCTTCTTTCCAAGGAGTGGCTGGTGGGTTTGAACCTCCAGCCTTCTGCTTAGCAGTCAAATGCCTTAGGCATTACACTACCAGAGCGCCCCTGTGACACCAGGGCTCCTTATTAATATACAGAGAAAGCTGAGAGAGCAGGAACTTAACGAGACTGCCTTTTTTTTTTTCCAGGTCTCAAGTTTTCTACCTTTGACAGGGTGGCAATCTTACCAATTTTCTGTCATTTGTTTTAATGGGAAATATTTTAGTTTTCTTTCTCTGAATGGTTTCCACCTTACACAGATTCCGGCTTTCAGAGGTTTACTGTATTAGTTTCTGGTAATTTTCAGACTGCCACATCTTGCTCCTGCAGAGCAACTGGTGAGTTTGAACTGCTGATATTTTGGTTAGCAACCTCTGTGCTACCAGGGCTCCTTAGGATTTTTTTTTTTTTTTAAAAGGTTAACAAATATACCATATCCTGCTTTTAGGAAATAATATAGTATTAAATTTCGTTTTAGATGTTCCTCTTACATATCAAACAGAAGGAAGCCGGCAAGCTCTTAAAGTTCATTTCTACATCGATAGTTATCATTTTGAACAATTGCCTCAACGGTTGAGAAATGGAGGAGGGTTTAAAATTCATCCTGTTCTTTTTGCACAAGGTAATCTGATTTCCTTTTGATTCTTCCTGTACTTAAATTATTTTGTCCTTTTCAAATTTTATTACAAATTTAACTGTAATGATCACATTTTTTTCATTAATTCAAAAATTCTCTCAACGAACTTAATAATATATTCACTGCTAGGGATGTACATTAGTAAAATGATCTCATGTAGATTACATATTTAACCAACAGGATTGTAGCATGATTTATAATGAAGAAGCAACATTGTTTTAAATAAATAAAGGTAAATTAAATAGATATAAATAAAATAAACAGACCAAATTCATTGCCTTCAAGTCAATTGCAAGTCATAGCAACCATATAGGACGCAGTAGAACCACCCTAAAGGGTTTCTGAGGCTATAAATCTCTATGGAAGCAGACTGCCACATCTTTCTCCCATGGAATGGGTAGGCTGTGTCTGCTGACCTTTCCACATTTAACCACTGCACCACCAAGGCTCCTAAATTGTGGTAGAGCCATTAAAACTGTGTGGCTACAAATATTTTATGACATGAAAAAAAAAATTTTATGACATAGAAAAGATTACAGAAAAAGAATTTATATTATAGTCTTAATTATATCACAAGTATGCATGTATTTACATTTATGTCAAAATGTTTTTAGTAACTATCATTGGGTGGTTAAATTGATAAGTTGTTGTTATTTTAGTTTTTCTATATTATGCAATTTTTTTGTTAGTAAATATGTATTTCCTTTTTAAACACACTTTATTTTATCTTTTGAAATGAAGAGTGATCGTCAACTGCAGCAGAAGGGATCAAGGTTAGCATGAGTAAGAAGCTTCTTACAGTGAACTTAGTTTCTAAGGGAAGGAGTTGGATCTTTTTGATTTCTGGGTCCACAAAACCCTGCTTTGAAGAGATCAAAAGTCCAGATTGTTGTGTAGTCTCTTCTAGTTTATGATTCTAATAAAGAAAGGAAAGCATGCTGTGGCCACAAGATTGCATCAATTTCTCTGAGTAGTATCATAGGGCATTTCATTTTTCCATCTTTTGAGTTTTCATTAACTGCACTGGTTTTCTGTGGAATTTTTATATCCTAATAAAAAATGGGAAGAGCAGATGGGATGAAATCAGTCTAGATAATTAAAGAGCAGACAGACATATGAAATCAAAATTCACTACCAAGTAGAAATTCTGCTGTGTACTACATGTATGCTATTTAAAAAATGCTGAATTCTGAAAGATAGATTACTCTTTTTTTCATTTGCCATAGTTCAAAACTGTGACTACGTCAGATAGATACTAGGCAATCACATACTACATACACATACACATAAAAGGTCTTAGGACTTATTAGAAGATATTTTCATTTCTCATTGGAAGACTGTGATTATAAGGAGGATCAATGTACAAGATTCTGTAATGAAAAGGAATAAAATAAAAAAGAAACTAAGCAAAAACAGGATCTTTGGAGATATGTTAGGAGAATAGTTTAACCTAAAATATATTAAAACGTTAGTACAGAGATAATTTTAGAAGGTACGGCAGGTTGCTAATTGGAAATGTTAACTTACGTAGGGTTTAACCAGAGCTTGCATTAGTTAAAGCCTCTTTGCTTCTTTTTCTTCCTTCTTTTTTTCTTTTTTAATTTTGTCTTTGAAATCATTTCTGAAATGACAGATGGCACTAAGCATCTTTACAAAAATTACATTCATGACACATCAGTCATAAATAGCTGAATAATCACACCTAGCAGCAAATGTACATAGGAAAAATTGGAAGATTGTTTTTCAAGTTAACTTTTCTTTTATAATTTTCCTAAGGAAAATTTAAGAATAGTTGGTAAATGTATATTATGTCAGAAGAACAGTATCTCTGTAAAATTTAAAGTTTAAAATGCAATTTAAATAACAACATTAGGCTTTGTTACTCTTTCAACAGTAAGATTTGAAAAATGAATTAAATGAACAACAGTGGAAATATTTCTGCCATTGAGGTCACAGATTGGCAAAGAAGACTGAGAGGTAGTTTGTCTCACTAAAAATCTCTCTGTTATAAAGATTGTTTATTAAAAGGGGGTGTAAAAGTTCTTGTACACTCATAAGACCACTAGGTATCATTAACTTCTCTTAAAAAAACCAAATCCACTGCGGTCAAATAGATTCCAACTCCTAGTGACCCCTGTTGGGTTTCCGAGGATTAGCCCCTCTTAGTATTACTAAAAAGGGAGTTCTGATGGCGTAGTGCCTAAAGCATTTGACTGCTAACCAGAAGGTTGGTGATTCAAACTCACCAGCCACTCCATGGAAGGAAGACTGGGAAATCCACTTCTGTAAAGATTTACCACCTGGGAAACCCAAAGGCCGTTGCTGAGAGTTGGAATTGACTTGATGGCAGTGAGTTTGGTTTGGTTTTGGTTTACTATTCCTGAAATTGCAAGAAGCACAAGAAATTCACATTTAGTTAGTAGAAATTAGCATCTGGGAATTGAAAGAGGTAGTAAATGTGAGTTCCAACTAGGGGCTGTTACCTGGGATAAAAGTTTGTTTGGAAGGTTTAAGTTTTGTGTGTACATGGGTCTTTTTAGCAAATAGAGAAAAGAAAAAAAAAGTGAATTTGAAAATTTCCTGGGAAATGTACTAAAAACAGCCTTCCTGAAGTATCACTTTCTTCCTATTTTTCTTCCAGGTTGGAGTTGCAGACAAAGGAAGGGTAGGCACATGGTTGATATAGATAACAGATCTACTTTAGATCAGGAATTCCAGGGTTTGTGGTAAGCAGGGTACACTTCAGGGAACATATATTGCTAAAGGCCAGAGTTCCAGGAGAACAAAAATAATGACCAGAATTACTGGTCAGATGAAATCTGGTGAGACTCCCAATACTATGGCCCTGAAGTACATTTGGCGCCTGGAATAAAACTCACCCCCAGGTGCGGGTTCAGCCCAATTGTTAACAAGATGTACA